AGGGTTTATGGTTCCTGATCAAAGGGAGCGCTTCCTGGGCTCGGAGAACTCCTGACCAGAACTGCAGTTTCCGTTTGAGTTCTTCTCTTTTAGCTGCAGCACAAGTTCACTTTAGGATGTATAGAAAAAGAGCTTTTAGAAACACAAAAGCATCAAAACTGCTCAGGTGGTTCACTGGAGGCTCTTGCAGAGCAGGAGGGCCTTTGTTTCCCCCCTAAGCTGTTCTTCTCCATGCTTTCTTCACAAAGAGGAATGTCATGTTTGAGTGCCATTTCCTGATCTGAAAAAATACAGACTGAATTCCCGAGTAACTCCCACCTTCCTCTGACGACATGCTGCAGCGCTCTCAGTCCTGTTTATCTCAGAGAGACATTCCTACTCAGCAGCAGGTGTGTACAACTTAACACACAGAGGTTTTGTGCTTTTAGAGCACAGAGAACATTAACTGGTTGCTATTGCTGAAATAAAACACACTGCAGCATCAGAAAAATACAAATGTTTTATATTTTAATTCTATCCTACAGAAATTCTTACATTGGTGTAACTGATCTATCTTCCATAGTGCTTGCAGTAGCTGCTCCTATTACTGTCAAATGTGTATATTTTCAGTTGCCGTACACAAGTTTAAAATAAATCTAAAAAGTATTCAGAATAAAACCTTTTTTTTTGCTGTAAAATTTGAACTTGTTTTCTAATCTCTACCAAATCATTATGTGAACTTTTTAACAAGAGTTTATTTCTGCTGAGCAGAGTAATGTCTGTCCTTTAGACGTTTGTTTAGTTTTAATAAAGGCAAACCGAGTCTGACTAGTGAAGGCACGGCTGGGTGGAAGTTCTGCATCAGGTCCGTGGTTTAGGCGTCTTTGTCTTCTGAAATAACAAAAATAAAAACATACAACATATTTATATCCATAACCGGAGGTTCGAGCTTGTGAATCAATTTAAAACACACAAACTGTCCAGTATGGCATGTCAAAATAAGAGCATCAAGTAATCAAGCCCTGAACAGGCAGGGTATCACTGCATCCATCTAGACCGTGTACTATAATCTGCATTCCCTTAATCTCTTAATATTTATAATTTTTGGAGAAATAACTTAAAAGATTTTGACTAATTTCTAAAAACATTAATTTTGTACATTTTTCTGATTAGTTACACTCGGAATTTTCCATACAAGACAAATAATGGAGGACTTCTCACAGTGATCGTCTCACAAGAGCACACTAATATTCAGTTTTACAAGTTCAAATACCTTACTGTGCTAGAACTTGTAAAGTTTTTAAATATCCATCCATCCATCCATCCATCCATCCATTTTCTGAACCCCCATCCATCCATTTTCTGAACCCGCTTGTCCACGCAGGGTCGCGGGGAGTTTTTAAATAATGCCATGAAAATAGTTTTTAAACTGAAGTGAATATTTGTGCATCATCATTTGTTGGTATTTTTAAATTACCTATCAAACAGCAGACTGATGTGCAAATACAATCCTACTGAGTAAGTTTTCACCTTTCACCGGCGGGGCAGGCAATCTTCTTCTCATGTGTCTCGAGGAGTCCAGAGTCACAGGCTGCAGGAACAAACGTGTGCAACATATTTTGGCTTGAAATTGAGTTTGCTGCTCCTGGTTTTTAGGCTGCATGCATGTGTTCATGTAGTGTGTGTAGCACCGTAACTGACGAGGTCCTGGCTTTAGTGACGCGTAACTGAGGGTCCACGTTGAGGCCGGCGCTCTTCAGAGCAGCGATTCTTGCAGAGATGTTGCCTATCTACAGCAGAAACAGCAACACGACACAATTAATTAATTTAATGGCACAATGAGCAGAAACACAGACTCTGTGAAAACACCACATCCGTGCATCCCATCCTGTAATCCAGCTGACCTGTAGCTCTGACTGCTGAACTCGAGCAGCAGTTGCTGCCACCTGCTCCTCCAGGAAAGTCAGCTCCATGTCGGATGTGGAGCTGCAGATTCCTCTGGCGCACTCCTCCAGATCACTGAGCTCTGCCTCCAGACCGTACACTGGACCGGCTGCAACGTACACCTGCAGAAAAATGTTAAAGTTTGCATGAAAGTCTCTGCAATTTAAACAAAACAGCTATTTAACAGCAGAGAATTCCATTTAATACATTCCTACAGTTGCATGAACTTACATTTTCCTCCAGTCTGGAGAACTGCTGGTCCAGTGTTTTGGGGTCCATGTTTGGTGGCAGCGAGACAGAAGGATGCCAGGTGTGGTTTTGAGCATCCACTCCCTGCAGCAGCTCTTCAGTGGTGTTCAGAACCTTCAACACCTCGGTGGTGATGCTGCGCAGAGACGCTGCAGAATATTTCTAGAATTTATAAGATTTTTGTGTGTGAGAAAAAAGTTAATTGTATTTGTTTAGTGGAAAATAACTTCTCAGTATTTCCTTTTGATGCTTTGTGGGCTGAAACAACTCCATCAAATTTAAATGCTTTAAGTGTTAAATGGTAACATTCCCTCTCACCTGCTCCAGAAGGGATGATATTAACTGTATAGTTTGATAAAGCTCCATGTTGCTATCCTACAGGTTATAAGGCACAGGAAAACGGGAAAACAGAGTGGAAGTGAGAGTCACGAAGAAGTTAGTGAGATTATTTTAAAGAATCATTCGATCAGATCACAGACAGAAGTTAGTGAGAGCAGAGCCGTTTGTGAGCTTCATCAGATCAGGATCACTTACGCTCTGAAACTCCTCCGGTGACAGAAACCCTCCGTGAGGAGGAGAGCTGCTCTGCTCCACCTCTTTAATGTTTTCGTTTGCTGCATTCGTCTCCATCATGTCTCCCTCCACTCTTGTCTCCTCCAAATCAGACTCTGGACTTGTCTGATCTGAGTCTTTGATTTTCTCTCTAGTTAAACATGTCTGTCCTCCATCCTCCATGTTTCCCCCTCTAACACCTCTAGTCCGTTGATTAGAGATGATTTTTTCTGTCCTTTCGTCTGAAACTTGTTCTGTTTCCTCTGAAGCATCTTTTCTTTGTTCCACTGATTTTCTCTCCTGCTCTCTGCTATTCTCTACCTCCTCTAGTCTTCGCTCACTTTTTCCATCTGTGTCCTTCATCGTTTCCACCTGCATGTCCTCCAGAGTCATCATCAACATGCTGCTGATTATTCTGTCAAATTCTAAGTCTTCTTCATCACTTCTTGCTGCCAATTTCCATTTCCTCTCTCTCTCGTTGCCTTCTTTTATGAACTCTTCCATTTCATCATTCATTTTTGCTGCTGGCTCAGTCTCTGGTTCAGGTTTTATCTCGTGTTCTGTCCTCTCGGCGTCCTCTCTTGTTTTAAAGTGTGCCTCTTGTCTTTCTTTTGGCTCCAGTACTTTCTCAGGTTTGAAGACTTCCAGATCTTTGACACATAGTTGCTCTTTTCCAGCCGATGTATTCCCCTTTACTCTTTCATCCAGGAGATTTCTACCTTTCTTTACATCTCTTTCATCATCCCAAACATCCTCAGTCTCCTTCCAGCTATCAAAAACATCTTCTCTTGTATTTTCATCACTTTTCTGTTCTCTCATTTCCTCTGTTTCATCTGTCAAATCAAACATTTTCATGTCGATGTCTCCCATGGATTCTGCTCCCTCCCACAGCTCCTTCATCTCACTCCCGATTTCCTGTTTTACTTTCTGCTCCATTTCTCCTTCCTTCTCTCCAACTCTGTCCAGCTCATCCTCAGTGGAGGAAAACTGCGAGGCTCTGACCAAACTGACCAAATCCCTCAGCTGACTTCTGTCTGGCTGCAGCTTCCACAACGTCTCCTCGTCAGTCACCTCCTCTTCGTCCTCTCCTCTTCCCACTCTGTCCAACTCATCCTCAGTAGAAGAAAACTGGGAGGCATTAACTTCATTAGCTAGTCGGCACAATTTCACGGCCAGATCTTCCTCGTTCTCGTCCTCTTCAACACCCATTCTGTCCAGCTCGTCCTCAGTGGACGAGAACTGCATTGCTTGGACTCGTTTTTCCAACTGAAAAAGTCTATTAGAAAGACTCTTCTGCTCCTCCTCCGTGTCTCCCTCCCCTTCGCTTTGTCCCACTCTGTCTAAATCATCTTTAGTAGAAGAGAAGTAGGTGAGGTTGGACTGTGAAACAAGTCTGTACAAACTGCATCTCACCTCTTCATCTTTTTCTTTCTCTTCCTCCTCTGGTGTCAGTCCACCCAAGTCCATGTCCCTCTGTCTCGTCATCACCCCCGTTTCTCCATCACTTCTGTCTTTTTCTGGTCCTTCTCTCATGTCAAAGTCAGAAACTCTGCCTTCAGATTGATGCACATTCAAAGAAAAGTCCTTTCCTGTTACGTCACCATCGAGGTCAAAAGGTTCAGGAGTCGATGCTTCGGAGGTGGGAGTGGTAGGAGTCACAGCATCAGATGGATGTAGAGGATCACTTTCTCTGTTTAAATCCTGCAAATTTAAAATATTCACACAATTATTTTAGTATTTGTAAAAATAAACGTGTGTTTAGCTTAATTACTAATTTATGTAAATGTTAATAAAGGTTTTAAATAAAATTACTCTGTTTTCTTAATTTAGGTATGTTAGCTCTAATTAAAAGGATTTGACTTTAAAGTGATTTTTTAGTTTGTGTCGTGTGATTTGTTCATTTTGTTTTGGTCAGAAAAACAAAAATACTTTTTGTAACATGAAAACAAAAGTTACTATTTAGGGCAGAAACTGTAATCTTGTGTTTTTAAGCTATTCGGTTCTGTAGATTTATGAATAATCATTAAAATGTTGCTTCTTTCTCACCAGTACAGAAGAGGGCTTTTTTTTACTCCTCTTCTTCCGTGATTTCCTGATTTTTCTCGTTTCTGGCTGAGCAGCCATCTTCACCCCTTCCCTTTCCCCTCCTCCTTTGAGGTTAAAGTTCACATCGATGATGCTGGTCCTACGAGACGACAAAGGCTTCCTGATCTCCGCAGGAACTTTCTTCTTTAGATGAACCAGCAGATGTTTAATAGGTTTCCAGTGCCCCTCAGAGTCTGAAAATGGATCATCGCTGCAGACGTGGGGGTCCACCAGAGGTGTGACGTTGTGCCCGTGTGAGGTGAACTTAGAGTCTGTCATTTTCCTGTGGATCTCCTGGAGGACAGCTCCCCAGGCACTATCAGCCTCTGGTTTGGTTTCGTTGTCAGAGCCCAGACCTTCGTAGGCTGACACCACGCCGGACTCCCTCTCCAAGGCACTGTAAACCAGGCTCTTGCGTTTGGTGAGGAGGCTGGGGCGAGACAGCTGGGCACTCTGCAGGGCGATCCAGTTCCCATCTGGACTCTTCAGAACTGGAGAAAAACAGAAAACTCAGAAAACTAGAATTCTATACAATTCTACGTTAACACATCTTACCAGAGTTGTCGAGTCGATCCACACTCTTCCACGCCGTCATAGCCAACCCGCTGGCTTCGTTCTTTAAGGCTGTCAGACAGTTTTGCTCCGGAGTACAAGAGCAGTCGTCCAGTGTGAAGGCTGAATGGGACCTCTGAGGATGGAGATAAGATAGTGGAAAACTCTGATTTCTGTTAATAACAAACACCAGTGAAGCCACTAGAGGTCAGTGTGTGCTGGCAAATGTTCCTTCTGTTGTACAAAAAATGCAAAACTGAATCAAGTCCACATATCTAAACAGAACCATGTCTAATGGCATCACAGTAATGTAGCCAAGTTTGCAAACTTTTGATTAAAGCTCATTTAATTTAAACTCAACACAACACAAATGTCTACCTTTACTCAAAAATCACAACAAAAGCACCAGCAATGTGCACAAATCACATTTACAAAAATAATACAATATTAGAGGAGCCGTTATCATCATCAGTGGCATTTTCTTTATGTCTGATGCATTTGCGGCTCTCTGTGCATCACGCTCAGATTCCACAGGCTGCCAACTGATAACTTGAGAATTTGAATGTTAGGTAAACACATCAGACATCAGCTGCTATACTGTCAATGGTAAATTTTATCTTGAATATAGAAATCGTAACAACCAGCACGACATTGTGCTACAATGAAAAAGTAATTTTTTCATGTCAGTGGTCATAATGTTATGACCGACTGACATATCCATATTTTCATTTCAGGCCTTCAACGTTTTTAGAAAGCAGTAAAGTTAAATAAGTCTGACTTGATTTAGCTTTATTTACCCAGAGATTTGCCTTCAGGGAGCCGGAGACTTGATCACAATTTGACTGATGAGGATGAAGGCTGGTGTTCTGCTCTGAGGGCCATTTGTGGTCGTATTCTGCCCTCATCTCAGCCGAAGAGTTCCTCCTGCTGGTGATCTTACACACAAAGAGAGCAGGATTAGCTTTAACCCTCCCGTGGATTTAGAGTATTATAAACCGACTTCAAATAGAAAATAAATCATGTCGATTATACACAATGGAACATCTGCTGTAATCCACAATTTAATCCCGTTTTTACTTTTTGCACAATAGTTCTGGCCAGCTCCTCGATGAGCTCTCCTTTGTGCTCCTGCAGATAATGAGCTTCATTCTGCTTCTTCTGAGGAAACAAACAAAAAAAACTATTAGGAAACATATTCAGCACCCCCGCCCATCTTAATAGGTGGCTTGTATGATACTACAGTGCTAAATTATACAGCATCACATATTTCACATAACTCTAGCTAAAGCTACTGCAGCAAATATGATAAAAGACCAAAAACTACCTGAGTAGAGGTGTCAAACTCAGCCCTAGAAATGGCTTCATCTATGGCCTCCTCTGCAACCCGCATGGCCACAGTGAGCGTCTCCTCCAGGCTGTGCTCTGAACACAAACACGGGCATCTCTCACTATTCAGAGTGGGAATTCTTTAGATACCATTCATCTAATAAGAAAAAAAAAATAACGATGGTTCCCGAGGGCACGAGGATCCTTCAAGTGTTTTTAGGCAGAGTGAGGGCAGAGGACACTGCACACACTTGCTTATGCGTGCAATGCATTCACAAATGTGCGGGCGCGCACACACACACACACACACACACACACACACACACACACACACACACACACACACACACACACACACAATTTTGATGCTAGTTATAATTTTCCTTCTCATAACGGAATTTGAAGGCAGTTAGATGTAAATCAGCAGAATTAATTGTTGCACAATAAAGTACTATCCTATCTGCAGCTTTTCATAAGTTAGTATCCTAATTTTTGTACCGCTGTCGCGACTGGAACATGTTAGATTTAATGCTTGACTGTCTGGTTAATTCAAAGAAAAAAATTAAGAAAAAAAAATTCAAAGACTGTAGAAAAGCTCATAATCCAGAGCATTTCTATCATGTGGAGATGCAGAAGTTGTTTGACATTTTTAACACTAATGTGTTTCAGACTATTACAGCCATCTTTAAAGTAGAAATGAGCTACAGTGAGCTTGTGCACCTTCAGTTTGCCTGTAGAAGGTTGAGTCGCTCCCACTGACGCTGTCCTCATTGCAGATGCTCTCGTCGCAGGCGCTGCCCTCTGAACACATGGATGTAAACATGAGGAGACACAAGAAGTCTGCAGGGATTAAACCTGCTTCCTGAAAATGTAGATCTTTAAATGTGTTTCAAAATTAGAACTGGATTTACTATAAAACTCAGCAGCTTGAAAAGATTACGTATTTTCCATTTCTATTTCTTTTCTGCTTTAGATAGCTAATGCTAAAAGCTGAGATGTTTTTGTTATTGTTAGTAAACATTAATAAAGTACAATTAGTAGCAAAACTGAAGATAATGATTTTATTGATGGATGCAAAAGCCCACATGTAATCCACAGTCAAGGTTTTGTTTCAGTTCTCATTTGATTTTATTAAAAATTATTGTAAGTAAAACAATTTAAATTGTCTCTAAAAGTTGTAGCAAACAAAAAAAGTTACACTTAAGTTTTATACAGTGTTCTGGAAAACTATTTTAATAAATCCACAAACCTCTTGTTTAGAAGAAAATGTTTTACAGAACATAAGTGGAAAAAGTCTATTTAAGTTTACAGAATTCAACAGAGTCTCCATGATCATAAAGCCAAACTCCAGCATGAAGCGGCTGAGTGAACGTGGTCTAGACTCTGTGGAGGAGAGCCCTCGTTTCAGAGACGCTGAAGAAAGACAGTTCCTGCTTTTTCATCCCGATACACTCCAATTCTGGAGGAAGGAGGACCTGAGATGCAGGTTTGGATGTTGTTGTACCAGAACACATAACCCCTTTGGGAACAAACTAAAGCCCAAGATTTATCATTTCATCCAAATTTAGACTCATCTTCTGTTCCGTTGCTGTTCTTGTTGGTAACTGCTATGGAAACTTGTTTCCCTGTCCACTCCACCTCCCAGTAACAACGACCAGTTTGCTTAGGACCTGCCACCATTTGATAAACCTGTATTTGTAATCAATAAATAACCCCCTTTCATGTCTTCTAACTGCTGTTACCTTTCTGTTCCCCTCTGATAGTGACATGATTGTGTTTTATGTGTCTGGATCCAGTGCGATTACAGACAAATATTTTAACATTCCAGTTTGGTTATGGTTCTGACAGTAAGACATCCACCTCAGTGACAGTCGATGAGATGTTTGTCCAATGTCACCTCAGGATGTCCTCTAGTTTGAATCTGAGCTCTGAAACAGCTGATTTCACGTCCTCAAAGTATCTCAGAGGACGGAAACAGAAACTAAAGGAGTGTGTGGACTGACTTAACACTGACACAGAAGGGTAACTGCGTAGAAACTTGTTGTGATCCTCCCGTGTCTGAGACCTTCTTCAGCTCAGCTTCTTTCAGTCACGTTGAGAGGACTGTTTGGACCCAAAATGCAGATACCCAGGATGACACGAGGCAGGAGTTGAAATAAAGAAAATCCTTTTATTGTAGGATGAGTCCAAAAATAAAAAATAAATCCAAAAGGCAGGGAGCCTAAATCCAAAAATCAGGAAATGATCAGAAGATCCAAAAACACCAGAGGAATGGGCAGACTGACAAAATAAATCACTCTGACAAACAACAATGAACCGACAAGACAATGAGAAACAGACAGGGCTTTATAGACTGGGGCATAATGGGAGGCAGATGAGCTGCAGGTGTGTGGGGAGAGAACCAGGTGAAGGCAATAACTAATCAGGGAGGAGGAGCAGGGGAGGACACCGGACCTGACTGGAGAAGAACACGCGCGCACACACACGCACACGCGCGCACACACACACACACACACACGCGCGCACACACACACACACACGCGCACACACACACACACACACACACACACACACACACACACACGCGCACACACACACGCGCACACACACACACACACACACACACACACACACACACACACACACACACACACACACACACACCGAGCTGGGGACAAAAAGGCTGGAGCTACAACTGGAGGGGCTGGGGATGACCTGAAAGGCTACAAACAGAAGGCACATAAATAAGATGCAGACAAAGGACACATGAGGGCGCTAAGAGACACAAAAGGGGAATCTAAAGAGGGATGGGGGACATCAGGAGACACTTGGGGAAAGCCGCAGACACAGACCATGGCACCTTCCTCCTCATATCAATGATCTCCTGCTCCGGTTTCTCCTGAAGCTTGTTGACACGACTCAGCTCAGCTTCCTGCTGAGATCTGATCTGTTGCTTTTTTTCTGGATGAGACAAATCATCTCAGAGAAGATCTTCTCACTGTCCTCCACCGCTTTATCAGCAGAGCGACTGATGCACTTCTTCTCCTGTTGAAGCAGCTTCACATCTTTCTCTTAGTCCTGGATCCCCTGCTGGGTTTCTTTTCTTCTCACCTCCAGCTCCTTCTGCTTCTCAGCTCTTTCTGTTACAGCTGAGACTATGTCATGGCCTTTGTGGTCCTCCATTAAGCAAAGAATACAGACACACTGCTGATCGGTACGGCAAAACATCTTCATCACCTCATCGTGGCAGGAGCAGATGTTCTCCTGGAGGTTCTTGGAAGGCTCCACTAGTTTATGCTTCTTAAATGGAGCTGAACCATAGTGAGGTTGCAGGTGTTTCTCACAAAAAGAGGCCAAACAGACTAAACAGGACTTGATGGCTTTTAGTTTTATTCCAGTGCAGACATCACAGGCCACATCTTCAGGTCCAGCATAGCAGAGATCAGCAGGAGCAGCTTGGAGTCCAGTCTTATTCAGCTGCTCCACAATAGCAGCTAGCATGGGCCTCGGCATGAACGTCTGCCTGCACTGAGGACAGTGGCAGCTTTTCTTCTTATCTGCATCCCAGTAACTTTTAATGCAGATCATGCAGTAGCTGTGTCTGCAGGAAATAGTCACAGGATCCTTCAGGAGATCCAGACAGATCGAACATGAGAAGGTTTCTTGGTTCAGCTGATCTCCTTTCTGCTCCATTTTGACTTTCAGCAACAGTGACTTTGCCAGTTTCACTTGAGAATAGAAACAAGTTTTATAAATAAATCGCGTGTCGGTGCAAAGAACCAATCAGCTCACACATGTTGGTTCCACCCAACTTCAAACCAGTCAGACAGGGAGAGAAACTGGGAATTTATTTGAAAAACAGGAAGAAGAGTGTGGAGGAGGAGCTGGTTGAAAAGAAAACTGTTTAACCATTTTTTTATTGAAATATTTGGTTTAAAACACATTATCTTTCAATTTTTTCCCATAAAAACTGCTTTAGTCTTTGTTCTATTAAAAAAATATTTTGCATGTACTTATGATCTTAATGGATGGACACTGGAAGTCTGAAGGGATTAAACCCGCTTTCTAAAACTGGATCATTTTAAATGTGTTTCAACATTAACTGGATTTATTGGAAAACTTCAGACAGGGAGAGAATCTGGGAATGTTTTTGATAAACAGGAATTAACAGATTTTTCTAATGTGTCTTACAGTAAAACTGCGTCAGTCTTTGTTTTATTTGAGTTCATTATCTGTAAAATTGATGGAATTAAGACTTTTTGTTTTTTAGGTTGGTTGGCTGTAGAGTCCAGCTTTAATCGGGTCGACTCGAAAAGTGAATAAATTACAGATACAGTAAAAAGATGCTAAGTTTACTGCCTCAGGCTGTAAACGATAAAGGAAAACCCTGACAGCTCCAAAGCGCAGTGCAGTCACACTATAAACACGTTTTACCTTTGAGCCTTTTGTATTCCTTTACATCACCCTGATATTCCTGCAACAATGCAGCGTTTGTGCTTACGTAAGTGCATTAGAGAGTCCTCATGTCAGGCATTAGGTGACCTGAGCTGTCTGCAGCAGCTCCTGTTCTAATGCACAGTCTGGTACATCAGGCCACTTCCAATCATTTCAAAGGCCAAAGACAGCACTTGCACAAATGGAGATGTTTGGTGTGTTTGAAAAATACAGGAAGAGCTTCAGTTTTAATTCACTGAAAGCTAAATAATGTAAACAGGAGATTTTATTAGTCGTATTTAAGGTTCAAGGTTCAAGGTTGTCTTTATTAATCCCCAAGGGGGAAATTGAATTGAATTTAGTACTCAAATCTGGTGAAAGTTGTTCTAAATAAATGTTTCTGACCTCATTCAGCATCATTACAGGGAGCTGGAAAACACCTTTCATCAGAACAGAACAGCAGCTGAAAGATCACTGAAACTCTGAAGGTAACAATTTATGAAACTAGTCTTATTTAAAAAGGACAATTTCCATTTCCTGTCCACACTAGAGGAAGCTGAGCTGCATACTGTAACATTTGATGCTTGAGACACTGACATCAGAACCTTGAGCTTTACTCTACTTCCTGCTTCGTTGTCAGAAACGCTAAGTGTCACCGCCCCAAAAAAACGCATAACTACGTTGTTGGTTGAAAAGAGAAGTACAACAATAACACAGTTGTGTTTTTCTTTATGATTCACAGCAAACTGGCTGAAAAGTGACCATTAAAACTATTTTCATTTATCTTGAGGTCGTCACCCAACTTGTGTGGCAATCAAACTGAATAAGAAAACCCTGTTGGAAGAAGTGTTGTTTTATATTCAAGCATGTTGATTTCTAATCATTTTGGTAAGAATTTGTTCATTCTGATCAACTTAATGTTTTATGTTGAGGGTTGTTTGGACTGGACATTATGAGCATTTATTTGGTAAAACCGCAAACATATGAAGCTATCTAGTTTAGTGATAAGAATCATCTTTATCATTCATCACTTTTAACCAAACAGACTCATTTCTTTAATAAACTTTCACAATAAGAGACCTGGGTTAATTAATATGTTTAACTGAAATAAACTCAAATCTTCCAAAGGTCATTGCGATAATGTGCTTGTACTATCAGTTTACCAGCTGTGAGATTAAATATATGAATGTAATGTACTGGGATGGTTATAATAATTCAACATTATTATTATTATTATTATTATTATTATTATTATTATTATGAATGCATAACTGAAATACTGAATGATTTAGTATTTGGGCAAAAATGTCAGTTTGTAGGAATATTTTAGGTTAATTTACATAATATAAGACAGGGTTTAATTATTTTTCATAACATTT